ATGATGCCATGATAGTTAATGTTGCCGGTAGTATGGGCGTGCAGCACTCTGATGATTCTCTTGTCTCCAAGTTATCCTCCAAGATCGATGCTCCTATCATTTCAAGGTTATCCATTTTCTTCTCCTGAACCACGTATTTTATCCTTCTGTATCCTTCATTAACTTTCTTGTTTTAGCTTGTGTTCGAGTTGTATTTGCTCGAAGTTTAAATTCTCTGGAGAAACTTAGTTAGTAAAATAAATAAGGTGCAAGTGGAGTCAGAAACGTGTAATTTATTGAAATTTATTATCAGAGATGACTTATGTATTTGATTTAAGCAAGAAATATTGTCTACATATTATATATGTTACACATCTCTCACGTTTGCTTGGATAGTTAATCTAGTTTGACCTTGAGCTACGCATTCTATTTCTTCTATTCACAAAATTCCGAAATATGTAAAATTCAGTGAGTTTCGTGGTACTTAAATATTTCAGCGGTGTTCGCACAATGGTAAATATCAGTGATTCGGCAGAATTCTCGGCACAAGAACTCGATAAGAATACTGAGAATTTGGCAAACGCATACATGTGTAGTAGGTTACGATCCAGTTGCTCTCTCATTAATCAAACCAGTCGGTCATATGGTAGCTTGAATCCATACATGTCGGTGTTCGATTTTATTTTTTTAAATCCAAAATTTACATATTTACTTTCAAAATCATGCAATCTTAGAAAAGAAACATTTATCATTTGTGTTATAGAATTAATTTGATCTGTCAATAGTAAAAGTGTCCAGAAAAGGTCAACAAGTTTCTGTTTGTTTGATTTGGTCGGCATGATCCAACATGGCAAATGTAGTTGCTGTGCTATAAATACCATTTTACCAGTTCACCTCATCCCAGTACAACTTCTTGCTCTTAATATTCGTTCATGGAGGTGGTACCTAGATGTTTTCATCTCTTATCTTTAAGTAGATTAGCATAATTTTCCTTTTTTTGTTTTATTTTTTGCTTGAATTCATTAAGATTTCAATCCACTGAATTAAGATGACAATAAGAAAATAGCTTATAGTGAAAATATATCAGCTACCGAAACAACATCCCGCGATTCTCCATTATCCATAATGTCATCACAAAGCAATCGACGTAGTGATGGTGTCGTTTTTGTACCGATATGTCCACCACCATCTTACCAACCTCCAAAAGGGCAAACAGTGCAGCAAATTATCTCTTCGCCATTATTACCTACTGCCGTACAGGTTGCAGTTTTGAATAGAATATTCAAGCTTCATATCAGTTAATAGAGGACAATGATGATAAAATGGTCTTTCAGGGGTGTAAAGTACATAACTGCGCCTGGTGAAATGTCGGCAACCACAACTGTACCTTTCGTTGCAGCGTCCTTGAAAATCAGTTGGCGTACTTGATGCAAATATTAGTTGATTGCCATCAAAATATTGCAGATGGGTAAGGATGGACGAGTACGTCCAGTTGCAATGCATCAGCGCCGAACGAACGCTGCGCAATGGATGCCATTGCCGGGAGGGCGACCTGCTACCACGATAACAACACCGTCTCTTGCAACAATTGTAGCCGCTAGTGCTCCCAGGACTGCAAAAGCAGTTACGGAAACCACTTTTCCCGTAAATAATAGCCTAATTAGTTCTAAATCAGCTTTCGGAAATTCTACTCCTATGATAGCACCACGCTCTGTACTGGAGGATCGCTTATCAACAAGTCATGCTGGGACAGCAACAAATGATGTATCAATGGATACTGTTACCGCGTACCGAAGAGAGCAGATACAGTCCTTGGTTGGGTTTTTGTTTTTATGATTCACAACAAAAGTAGAAATCATTTGATGAAAGTCAGTAAGCTTCGAGAGGAATGAAGAAATTGCTATCTGATAATCTCCTACAGCGTGTCAATAAATAAATAAATGGTGAAGAAATGATAAAGAAGCTGTGTAAATTGTAAAACAGAAATAAATTCATTACCAGTGCTTATCTTTTTATGTAATTTATATTTGAATTAAATTAATTTTATATAATTTATTCAAAAACGGGGTCAATGAAAACACATTTATAGGATGTAATAGGTCGGGGAGACGTGGTACTGAAATTTGTCGATCATCGCCGAAGTAAAATACAAAATTACATACATAATATCAATAAAACATATCCAATACCAGTACTTTGTATCGCTGAGAGTAATAAAGGTATACTGTGTTTCACCTTTTCTTTTTTATTACATTTTAATTTCTGTTCCCAAAAAATTTGTTTTCAGCATCATAAAAGCTATCATTTTTCCAGGAGTAAAACATCGAATACGGGTTCATTTCCGATGTGAAGTGGCCGATGACCACTGTGTATATGATTCAGATCAAATTTTCAGTTTTAAAACTCATTGCGCTCCTATATGGCTTCACCTTATGTTCTTGCAGGTAATCTCTTCACTACTGCGAATGATTTGGTTGATTGATACATTTGTAGATTATTTTTTTTTTTTTGATGTTTGTGCTGAACTCATTCCCGTCCTTTTTCCCTCTCGAAGCTTATTTATTTATTGATTTTACATCCAACAACAGAAATTCAACAATCTCGTGAAAGAGTGACTCGAACGTCTGATATTCAATCATCATTTATTAAAAAAAGTTTGTAGAATTCCAGAGGTCTTTCAATAGTTAGACAAACATAGATTTTTTTATAATCAAAGCATTTGAATTTCATTACCACTATTTAGTATTCTTTCTATATCGTCTACAATCTGATACCAGAACATATATCATCATTAATGTATTTTAAGGACTGTAATGATGTGTTAATAAACAGACATAATATTTGATTCAGATGGAATCAGTAAGTATCGAAACAACTGGTCAAGTAGTTGCTCAGTGTTCTGAAGCCTACCAGGCACTATCCAGTTGCTGGAGTTCACTTCCTTCTGCACAAACTCGGAACCGTCCGTTTCTGGAGCTTGTAACTTCTGCGTTTCCGGCTTACAAGGTTTACTATTTTATAACTCCAGATTCCACCATTTTTCTCAGTTTGTCTAAATCGTTATACAAGTATTGTTTGGATAATTCTGAAGATCTATTATTGTTTCCTTTCTTTCAGGAACAGCAACAAATTTTGAAAGAACTTCTCGATGCGCATTATTTTGATTCATTTTCCTACAATACGGTGTTGCAGAAATGGTCTTGCTTTAGTTGTAGCCATCCAGAACGTGTTAGGTTATTTCTTTTCTTTGGTATTACGCCATTCTAAAATGCAATGAAATTAATAAAACTTATAATTTAACTGCAGAATTTTGAAGCAAAATGATGACGTTTTCACACTTGACATTTTTCTCGTCAAAAATTTGAGTAGAATTCTAGAGGCTTATATTCTTATCCCATTATTTTGGTATATATGACTTATTGGTAGAAAATATGATATAGATCTTATTTAATCTATCTTCTACTTCACGTGTTCTTTTAATTTCTGCAGGACGATTTTACGACCGGATTCGCCACATTTGCCAGTTCTTGAAGGTCAACTGAAAGAGAAAAGAGGAAGATGGAAATTCCTAAAACGTTGGCATACCAAATATTTTACATTATCTGGCTCTGCATTAATTTGCCGAGAAGAAATCTCAAATGTACGTTAAGTTCTATTTCAAATATTTTAAAAATTGAGCTGAAAGTCTAATTTCTGATTGTTACCAATCTCAAACCATAAATTGAAAATTTCTTTATCTATGGGAACTTTTAGCCAGCAGAAGATAAAATTATCTCGCCAGCCCTTGATTTACGAAAGATACGTTCCATAAAATCACTCGGCAAAGGAAGAAAGAGCCGTAAATCACTACCCAAAGCATTCGAGATATTTACCGATGATGATATTTCCTACGTCTTAAAGGTAATTAGTAATGCCAACAAAAAGAAAAGAATTGGTTAGTAATCAATACTTGAGGAGTTTTCAAAATTTATACACATTTTATTATCAGATATTAAAAAAAAAGACACAAGCACTGAAAGGTTGTAATATATTGTTAATTACAAATGTTAAGAGATTTAAATAACGCGTATCCATTTAAAATCTTTATCTTTACTAGTTCATTATACTTAGCTCTATTAAATAAAAGCACTAATGATGTTGATAATAGAGAAAAGAAATTGGCATCATTCCCTAATTTGTAAAGTAACTTTCTATTAATTCAACTTTTACTTCTTATTATTAATATTTGCTCACTTTCATCAACAGTATGCTGACTTTAATAATAGCAAATTTAAACATTTTGAAGACTAGGATAGCCTTTACGTCAATGATATATTTTTTTTTTATTTTTCATGTCTTTTAAAGGCTGTTTTGAAAGTTGCTTTTTAAAGTTGTTTTAGATCTTTTTTCGAAACTCACGATTTATGAAAGTTTAAGATTAACAAAATCATTTCATGATGTAAAGATTTCTAATCTGTTAATTAGTACAATCAATTTAATATCGAAATTGTAGGCTAATGATCAAAGTAAAGCTGAAGAGTGGATACAATGCTTACAAATAGCTGTAGCTCAAGCCCACAAGGAACGATAAGTGAAAACAGGAATTATTACATAATCAGCTCTTTTGCCTGCACAGTGGTGGAAAATATTATCTGCAACGCACAATATGGCACCCAATGTTTTTGATTTGAATTTGGAATCTAATAGCTCGGGGTAGAAGTTGCTAATTCACTCAAACTGAATGATATTTTATCGAATTTATGAAGAAAAAATTCGGTCTTTTCCTTGTATAGATTTGTAATATTTATATTCTTACCCGTTGTTTTGTCACTTGTGATTGATTTTAAGTAATGTCTGCGATCTATTTAAAAAGTCTCATATCATGTCATCATTTCTTCGGGATCATTTACGAAAAGGAAGCAGCAAAATTATCATAATATTTCATCTTCTCAGCTAAATTTTATTTGCCAACAAGATTGCTTGAAGTAGCCAAGTTGTGAGAAAAGACCGCTCCACAAAAAAAAGTGGAACAGAAAACACACTTATAGAGCGGAAATTTTCAATTCTGTATCAATTGTCAGCTTAGCAGTCTTATCTTCTGCAACGGCTTTTGGACAGGTTGTAGCAGTGATATCGAATACTACCTTTCTTCGTGGATATCGAATGCGGGATATAATACAGTACAGTACCGGTATTATGACTAAACCATGTATGAAACCGATTATTATGACCAGTGACATCGTTTTCACGAAGACCTGAGTAATATAATATCTTAATTTACAAAGGACTTAGCATTTACTATATTAGAGAATAAATTGATTCGGTTGGTAATATATGTTCAAATATAAAAGCTTCGAGAATTCTCAGATATATTAGTAACACTGTTTTCATTAAAAGTGCCTTCTGTCTTCAACTTGTATTACGATGAGAGAATGAAGATGATAATAGAGTTTAAAAAGATGATAAGACAGTTAAAACGAACAAGAGCCATGTGAAGATCGCTAAATTGGAGACTGAGGACGCAAAGCATTGTTGAGAATGCAGCTTGCAGCACTGGAAATCCGATTTCTCTAAGGCAGTGTTGAAGAGAAGCTTCGGTTGTATCTTCATCTAAATAGAAAGATATAGTAAACGAGAAAAAATAAAGAACGGAAAAATGATACAATAGCGCCATTGTTTGGCGGGGCGGCATATACAAGATATCATACAGAGGACAAGAGTAAGAGTTGAGAAGATGCGTTGTAAGTATGCAGTAAACAGTATGGATTCATCAGACATCGATTTTGTACCCTTAACAATAAATAAAAGGCATAATATAAATTAGATGATTGGTATTCAATACTTTCTGCCAAGTCTCAACCGTTAAGTTATTGTTGATTTTTTCTAATAATGAAAGATATAGTAAATAAATACTCAATTTGTCATGGAAACTAGAAGCATGAAACATGTTATCGTCGGCATGATCAGATTTGGTCATCAAATGTTAGTGGACAATAGAAATAATGAAATGACCGGCTAAAATAATAGAAAAGTTACAAACCAGCTAGAAAGAAGTGATAAGCGACATGAGCTGGAATATCGACACTGAAACCGATAGACATTATCAATGCTGACATAACGATTGGATCCAAATCAACATTCCATAATGATAACAAGCCAAACACGCCTACAGCAAATTCTTTATCACTTTATGGTCATTTATGTACTTTTTTCCACTAAATAATTCTAATCCCTTCAAGTTTTATCTAATTCTAATTCTGTCTATTACTCATTCAGTACATAACCTTAAATATATCTGAATTTTGCCTCCTGAAAAGGTTTTTCAACTTACCAATAAAAATACTTATTATGGAGAATGTAGCGATGATTACTGCAGTACATTGTGGTATAGAAATAAAGCAAACAAACATCATAAAAAGCACTGTAAAGATAGACGACTGAACTGTCTGATTCACTAATATTTCGATTATATCCAAAAATTTTGCATCATCATCGAAAACACTTACTTCATGCATTGCATACTGTAACAAGAATTGAGTTATGAGGAGAACAAAATTATTATTTGGAAAAGTAATTTAATGTTTCATAGCTTTATATTCCAGTAAATTACACTGTTGATTTCTTGCAATAGCTAAAGCTATGTCAAATTAATTCATTAAGTACTTTGAAGGGACATCGAGCATTGAAATACATCAATAAAAGAGAAAGTTGACTGGAAAATGAAAATTAATAGAGCAGCTTATGATCATCATCGTCAAAATTATTTTGGAGATGGCTCCTCCTATTCATGTTTATCCAAATCATCTCTTTGGCTTCAACATCATTTCACCTTCTTTACATCTCTTTCATTACACATGAAAAGATAAATGTCAGATAATTGGTCAGAAATTTAAAACGTATAGACGGGAAAACACAAAAACAAAATTTCCTAAAGTTAAATTATTCATTGTAACAAATAGCAAAGATGGTAATAAGTCATGAATGAAAAGATTGATTTCCAGTGGTTAAGTTTCAGAGAAATTATGTTGGAAATTTTTGTATAGTATAAAAAGAGATACCCGATCAGCAACTTTTCGCAATTGATTCAGCAGTTTTGCACGAGCAGACCATTTTCTGAGATCAGAGCGTGATGATATCATGAAGAAATAACTTTTCAAATATCCCATACCACTAAAGTATACAAAAAATTCATAAATTTGAAAACAAAACTTGAAAGTTGATAGCATAAGATCATAATATGTTGATATGTGGCGCTGCGTGTTACTGCATATAATAATGCCTTAAAAAAGCCAACTTTTTATCGAGATCGAACTGCACAAATCCATTCCAATGATGAAATTCTGGCCAAGTAAGGAAATTCTGTAGGTCAAATTGTTTGATGGTAATTGCTGTTAAATTCCTGTTCAAAAATTCACATATATCATTATTACTGGAATTCAAGCACAATCACAATGGCTGAAATAATCACCTTCTGCACTTTCTTTTTTCCATGGATAACATACACTTATTAAGGAGGTTGTAAGGAAGAGATAATTTTAGAATTGAAGTAGTTGAAAGACTGTGCACACTGCAAGAAATAGAAGAGCAATTTACCGATTGCTGTCAATTAAACTATCAAATGAAACTTGTTCCGCATTCGCAATAAAATCCATATAATCTCTTAGCCAAAACTTTGTTGCTGTTTTTCCCAGCGAACTCGGTAATGCTTCAAAATCCTCTGCCTATGATCAAAAAAAGAGAAATAAAAAACAAATAGAACTTCTTATTATTCAAGGCCGTTTTGTATTTTACGTTTTCTGTTTAAAATTAATCGAAAAACTAAACAAAATATTATATATATAAGTTGCAAAAATTTGTAGCATCGCGTCGTCATCAATCTTCGGGAAAAGATCACCACACAGTAAAAACTGTTTAACTGTCATTTTAAAGACATAAATAACAGAAATTTTTCTACTTCTTGAACTTTTTTCTCCCAAATATTTGTCTAACTGATTCGGCTCTCAATCATTTTTTTTTTTTTTTGTTAAACAAAAAAACAAAGACGAAATTAAAAGTAAAAATAAACTACTGAAAACTACCGAATACATACGATTTTCTGCAACATAAGAATATTATTAGGATTGTTTAGATTTCCTGGTCTACCCACGAATATAAGTGTTGGAGCACAGTGCTGCATGATATATTCGTCCCGTAGTTGTAAGACCTTAAAGATGTCTTTTAACTACTTTATTGCTTCTTCAACTTCAAATTAAATAAGTAGACTGAAAAGAAGATAAGACAGATGTCAGGAGATAGTGGACTGCAGTGATTATTTGAAATGATTTTTCTCATCTTTAGTATTTAACCGAAATATATAAACACAGTGTTGGCATACCTTGACAATATCTGAATCATGCTTTATCAGTTTCTCAGGCTTCAATTCAATACTGATAGTTACGGCCCCATATATCGACAATGACCAGTACAAGAGCAAACCAGCAACGGTCAGCACTGAGAATGATGTAGTACACAAAACAGAGCAATATTTGTTCAGCAAACTGCAAATTGGAGAAAGAAACACTTATCACAAAAGTGAAAAGAATAAAGCAGTTAGTTTGGTATATTCCAATAAGTGATAAGAAGTTCAACACGACCAGACAGAATTATAAGTCAAGTTATAGCTCACTGTTTTGAATTTTATAACTTCAAATAATAGAAATTAAAAAAATAAACTCGCTTCTTGAGTAAGGAGTTTAAATCGTCCAACTTTTTAAGTTTCTTATATTCTACCGGATACTTAGACTTTTCGGCTTGCAATTCACAACGTCCTACTACTACCATTATTGCAGCGAATAATGTAATCTAAATATATTATGTATCATTGTTGCAATACTAGAAGAATAAATCTTCCATGTATTTGGTTAAATGATAAATTTCCGTATCACTGATTTAACAAGTAAAAGTAAAAGTGACAGAAACGGGAGATAAAAAACTTGAAGTAGATGAAAGTTAGTCAGAATAAGAGAGATGAGACTATTTATGCTGAGAGAATGGAAGCTAACTGCTATAAAAGATACAACATGCAACTTATCTATTCAAACAGACGATATTCTTAAATGTGCTAAAAGTGGTTAAAATAAAGGAGAGAAAACAAAGATATACGAAAAAGGCATGACAAGCAGTTAAGGTCACTTCATTTTTTCTTAGTTTGGGAGTAACAAATATCGAAATATATCAACAAGATTATCAACGAGGAAATGAAAGGACAGTAATCGAATCTAAAATTAAGAAAAGCGATCACATAGACAATAGTAAAGATTTAAATGTAAGCCTGTGCAGTCAAATTGAACACTATCTTGTTACCTTATCTAAGTTTAGTATGTTAGATGGTTCTCATGTGGAAATTGATTGAGAAAAAAATTCAAATTGAGAAATATGTAAGTAATTTTCAAATGTAGCAGATTTTTTCTGCAATAATGAAATGTCGGAGTAAAACAGTGAAAACAGTGCAGAAATGATTAGAGTAAGTAGTAATGTTGAAAACACTGTTTATCAAAGGAAATTGACTATTGCTCATGCTAGGGATCATTTTATGTACTTATTGGTTCAGTTTTATTCTGATCGTAATAGTATATAATAAATATGTTAAAGTTTTGAAGCTAATGAAAATGAAAATAGATCCCAATTTGAACGAAACTGAAACCTGATAGATGAAATCAACGATCATTGCTGTAGCGTTTCCGATGCAAAAAATTTGAATTTCGGGTATTGGTGAAAGTGCTCCAACTCCAAATGCTAACACATTTGTTAAAGTCGTTATTGTAATTGAAGGACCTACAAAGTCCTTGTAAAAATTCAAGGAGAATAGCAGCTAAGAAAGTCATTCCTACATGAAAAGCTATCATTTATTCTCATTCATCCCAAAAATCATTAATTGCTATTCACTAAGTTTTCTGGAACTTTTTTGATTTTATTGACTGGATGGTGACTGATGATAATATGATACTTACCGACTTCTTGCAACATATTACACATTCTTGTGTTTAGTCTTTCCTTTGAAAGTTCCTTAGTTAGCATTTTCCTACAATAAAGTTATGTATTTTATGTGTTCTTGAAAACACTGATAGTTTTCCGTTATTTTTTGAACCAGTTCATTTTATGGAATTTAAGTGAAAAGCGTACTGCTGATAGGTCTGTTGCCAGTGGTTCATCATCAAAAAGGCATCGTCAACACCAATGGCCAGAACTAGAAGCGGTGTAACGCACAGGATGGAGCCGAATCGTAAACCGCCCCATAACAGAAAGCCAAGAGCTGTACTGCAGGCTAGAAGCGGTGACACACAAGCTGCTATTGCTGTAATCACCTATAACAGATGATAAGACAGAGAAATGTTATTGATTTCTGTCTGAGAATTTTTTGATATCAATTTTGATTTATCCCTTTAAAAAAACAAAAGAAACTCGCCTTCTTATTAATTAACTGACAAAAAATGAAAAAAAAAAATTATAAGTTCCTATGTTGCAAATTTGTTTCGAAATTGTGCTATTTCACCTGCAAATAGTGAAACTGCGAAACTAGCACAGAACTGATAATTGTTGTTACGGTAGAAAATATGCACATGATAATGAATCCAATTGCAGTGAATGGTAATAAACTAATGCCGGCACGCACAATTTCAGCTGTTATAAATGTTGATGACATTGTAACGGCATTAATTATATTCGACGTAAAGTTTCTGAAGTTTATAACTTCTCAGTTAACTTTAATTTTGCAAATAAGTTTTGAAAATGATGTGTCTGAAATATTGATGACTATTTCAGTAAACATCCTACTTTTACACATAAAAATACGATTTTTGAGGCCCTAATTTTTTAGGGAATTTTAATTCCAGTCAACTTGTTAAATATATATATATATATAAAACCTTCTGTGCGAGATTTCCATTACTAAGACAATGGTTATAACTTTACATCTAAGAATAAATCAATTTTCATTTGAATTCTGATGCTAATGACTTCATTTTTACGAAAGACGCAAGAAATTATAATTGATTTTAAATAAGTTTCAACAAGGGCAAAATATCAACGTACTTCTGTATGAAATTGTTGACTGCCATTTCGTATCGTTCAGCATCGGTACTATCAATATTACCTTGAAGTATAGCTCGAAATTGCAATAACACCAAATGAGCACCCAACAAGCTATTCCTTTTCCCAACCTGAATCATGTAAAATCAGTGTAGAAATTGGCAAGTCCTCAATTTTCTCATTTTATTCGCTTCTTCATCAACTTGTGAACAGTGCTGACTGCATAATTTCTATCCATTGAACTGCTTCTTACTCCTTTGATTAGCTCACAAATCATTCATGCAGTGTCATCCCACAAACGCTACTATTTTTACAAGACAATTTAAAATGTTTAAGTGGATTTTATGGATAACAGTGATCAATAAAGTAGATTAATGATATCTGAGATATCCATAATAGGATAATCTTAGTGTAATTTTATTTTAAAAAAATAAAAAACTCACTTCTACACCAAAGAAATTGTCATCGATGCGAAATCGTTGGCCGAGAATAGTGCTTACTGGATAAGCAAGATCAATTTGCGCCGAAGTTCCATTATACTGCTCATTTATCATGAGACTATTCTAAAGTTAAAATTACATGAAATCAGTTAAAAGTTGAACTTTATCAAAAGCAAAATGAGTATCAAAACATACATAAACATTCCGAACTGGCTCGTTTGCTTCACAAAAGCTTGTGCAAAATTGTGCGAAAATGCGTGTTTCATTCATTTGTTCATTTCTTATTTCTACATTATTGACAATTAAATCAAGCAACTAAAATTAATGAAGTTATTGTGGAAATAGAGCATGTGAGAATGAACATTTCATGACAATACTCATAAAATGATGTTCTTAATCCACTCTTTGGTTCAAAGTTAAAAACTGAAGAATAATTTTCTTCCAACCATTAAATAATTTTTTTTCAACCATCAATTTTACAATAATTTTTGTCTCATTTCTTTCCACTCTATATTATTTTCACATCCAATTTTAACTTTTTAAAGCAATTTGACAAAGCTTAAATGAGTGAAAGACAATAAATTTGTTTCTCAAAAGATAATACTGTTAAAACAGGTATCTTGTAGTATTTTATTAAGTTAGTTTTAACATGTCAATCAGCTCCCACTTTCCATACTTTATAGTAAGTTACCTGGACAGTTTCATTAAGCTGCGCCACGCCTAGCATTGAACCGCCATCTTTCGCAGTTATGAACACAAAAACAACAACCGGGTAACCTTTTTGGCCAAAAAAATCATTGTAAATCTGCAAAAAATAGAAACCACAATTCAGTATTGAATTCAATATCAAAATATATCAAATACGTCCCAGAAATTGTTTGGGTTTACCTCATTATTTTACAATTAGGAAGAAGAGAAAGTAACGCTTTAGATGCATTTTAAAAGTTTAAAACCGAAAAGAAACTCTTGAGATGATCGTAAACAATTTGTTGAGTTTTGATTTAATACAGTAACAATTGCGAAAAACGTTTTTCTTAGGTGTTTTTAACAGTTTGTGGTTAGAAAAGTCGTCGATAGTGATTTTACTTTTTTAGAATGCATTAGATGGAGCAGTAAAAGAATGAAATGTTTTTATATTCTAGCATTTAAAGATAGGTAAATGAAGATTGTCCGACCTTGAAATTCCTTAAAATTAAAAAATATTTGTGAAAACAATTATCATACCTTTAATTCTCTGAGCGCTCGTGCATCTTTTGGTGTAAAATCAGTCACATTGTTAGTCATTTTAGTTAATAAAATAGAGGATGAACTCAGCACAGTAATAAATAAACAAATGAAGATGAAGAAATATGGCTTAGCTGCAACGTTTCTGCCAGTTAACCTGGAAACGAATAACTGTCATAGATGATCAGTAAGTCTTTATGAAAGATCTAAATTTTAGAAGAAGCTGATTTCTTTGCCAAAACCGTTTAGTTTTGAGTTACCTTTGAATTTAAACTTGTCTCTATTCAGAACATAATTGTAGCAGCATTACTTCTAATTCATTAAATCTAATAAAATTATGCAAATCAATCGTATTGATAGAGTAGTATAATTACTTACTGTTACAATATAAAGAGCGACGATTAAATTTCAAAAGGAATCTACCTGAAAAATCGTTTGAGATACTGTACAAAAATAGTGTCTTCTGAGTGTGTTTTCGCATTAGCGCCTTTTTTTGGCAGCATCCTTCCCTGTGGTAGCATTTTTATTTTAGAAAAATTTATAGCTCATTCCTTCTCATCAGCATTTTCAAAAAAACAATTGAAAGCCATGAACTTCTTAATTTGAAAGTAAACGTTTATTTTCTCGACTATCACATATTGCATACTTTATTTATGAGCAAACAATTTAGCCTCAAGCTATTTATTTACATACAATATAAGCCTTAAGTTATTTATTTAGATATAATATAAGCTTTAAGCTACTTTGACATAATATAAGTATGTCTAGTCTATTCACAGTCGTTTCACTGTCAAATGTCCAATTCACAAAAGTAGAAGATATTAATATCCTGAAACAACTGAAATATAAAATAAATCTTAATAATGAAGTATGTGTAAATTATGAATGTAAATAATTCGATTTAAGACAAAATAGACCAATGAGATATATTTTTTTTCTCATTTTTTTTTATCCTGTCATCCAAATATAGAATAGTGCGCAATATGATATATAGACACTTGACACTTTTAGTTTAGCTGAAACCAGCTTCTGTAACACTAAAGTCGGAAACCTTGCTGAACCTGTTTAAGGAATTAGGTATGAGCAGTACACAGAAGATGAATTGATTTCCGCGCTTTTGTCATCTTCTACTCCTTTTAACAACACTGATATAATCATACAAATAGTTTAAAAAAAACTTTTTAGTAATCAAAAAAGGAAGAGGAATTTTTAACAATTGAAGAGATGGAAAAGAAATATTTTCCTCAGGGAAATCAAAGAGATTAATGTGATGAATTGATAAAATGAAGAATATGTAAGCGTGCACTCCGAATTAGTTATTTTGATTTTCTGATAAAGAATAGCTAACGATTGGTTGAAGTTGCTAAATTAAATTATAAAATTCATGCTAAATTTTTTCATTTTCGTTGAGCACAACCAGTGAAGTGAATTGATTGAAATCATTGGTTAGTGAATCACTTCAATTCCATGTAAATCCTTTTACTTAATTCAAAAAGCATGAAAACTCAAAAATGAAAATAACACTGCTATTTTCATATAATTGTTCACCTTTCCAAAGTTCGATTAATTATTTGTTTTTATCAGCGAATTTCAGCTCATTCAGAAGGATAGCACGGCTATGTATGCAATAGGTGAAAGATGAGGAAAATATCGGAAACATTCATTATTTGCATGCATGATTGAAAAAAGAGAGAAAAGAAGAAATGAATTGTAGTAGATGACATGACGAAATGATGAAAGTAGTATGCAATTGATAAATATAAGTATTCAATTAACTTTCTGCTTGATACAATGGACAATACAACCGGTGAAGAAGAGAATTGTACTTTTTTCATCGAAACCTTAATGGCGGTGCATTGTTCATCAGAAGAAGAAGAAACTTCAAATGTTTTACAAACAGCGTCACTATTTTTTGAATCATCATTACGACTTTTCATTCTGCTGTTGAAAGAATGAAAAATAAAGTAGCAGAATGAATTTTTTTATAAAATTAGAGAAGGAAGAAAAATAACAGTTTAGAAAAGAATACGTAAAAGTTTGTTGTAGATGAAATAGTATTGAAGTTGGTGCATAGAACCATAATAATATAATATTAATTAACAAACAGATAGATAAGGAAGATGACTATAAAACGTAATTTATTTCTAACATAATAACATTTTTTAATGCATTCTAAAAAGGATTTTAATAAAACCTGAAAGAGAACAGGAAAATGGAAGAATTGGAAAATGAGAAAATGGAACCTTCCATTTGTATTGTTATTTGTCAGATATTGGTCATTCAACTTTTGGTCAACGATCAAAAATTTTTCTTAAAAGCCGATGTCTACAATATAAACATTTAGAAATTTCAAAAAATGAACTGCCACATGTGCAACTTTTTCCTTTGGGTTAACATTTTTTCTTTTCCAGAGGACATCCTATTGCCTAATGGCGAGTAAATGATATAATCCTGAATTTGCGTGCGCTGTAGCTATCTTTTTTGATCAATAACTCAAAATCAATTTATTACCTTGATTTTTTCAACTCTTCAGATACGTTTTCAGAACCGGCCAAATACCCGAATGATTTCAGTTTGTACTAATCAATATGATCAGAAAATATTGCCAAAATATTTGCCAGTAACTTCAGTTCTCTTTCAATCACAACGATTTTGTTTTACCAATGATCATCTGATGTAGAGGAAAAAGTCATTATTCGCCTCAGAATTGCATTGCATCAAATATTAACCACATGAAGAGTCTCACTTCACGGTGATTTGAACTATTTATCATTAACAGAGGATCGTATCAGTAACTACTCTTCTCTTTCACCCAAGTTTTACTTAATTTGGAGTATGCTTAATTTCTAAGAGTAGATTCAATTTATTTCTGTATCATTCCTGATTTCTGTTTGTCTAACATTATTAAATGTGTCGGGTCAGCATTGTCTTTTGATCTAAAAAGTTAATGGAAGCATAAATGAAAACCTTCGGTTCTTCTTGCTGAATTGTTTGACTTCGAATCCAGCAATTTTGGCCAAGGTAGAGTTGGAATATTTGGCCAATCTACGCATGTCTTATCAAGGACCATTAACATCGAGAATAGAACAAAGGAATGGAGCGATAGCTGAATAACCATCATGAGATAAGATCTCGACAAACAGTACGATGAACTCTTTTATATCAAGAACTGCCGTTATAGCGGAAACTGGTTATCATCTCAGATACTTTGATGCTGCGAAATAAAAACAATAAAAATGATATATTAGTTTACTTGATACTCATTTTTATTCTGGTAAGCATCACAAATACATATCTGTCGAGAGTGAACAACTACTCTAGAACTATTACTTTTTTAAATAAACATGCCAGGGTAAAATATTTTCATAAAAATGGTTCATTTCATTTCATTTAACATGATGCCATTGTCATAACATATTGAGCGGATGACAGTGGCTTTAAATATATTATTAAGCATTTATATTGTGCTTAAACCTCTTTTTGTGCCTATAACTGGATAGAGAATTTTTTTCTAATTTCTTCACCTAATTTAATTGAACAACCATTTTACGGAAAAACTTTTTCAATCGTTTACTGTATTCGAACTATTCATTCTTCTTATCAACCTTATTCTGCTGTTAAATTTCTTACATTGACACTAATGTTTAATTTTACGAAAGCAAGGCTAAACAATTGAACAAACAATCGATTACGATTGCGTCACTATTAAAACATCAATTCTATAACCTTGAAATTGATTTTGAATACTGAATAAAAGCAATGGAAAATAAGCAGATCAAATGTATTACTTTAATTGATTAAGTGAATTAAGTAACCAGCGTGTCATATTCTGTCAGACCACTTTTGTATCTTTTTATTTATTATTTCCTGGCAAAATACACCAACCAAATGGCTGCATAAATCGAAAAAATGGCCAATGCAAGAACCCCAACCACAGTTGCAATTCCGGTTCCTCGGTTTCATTATAGCTGCTTAAGAGAAATCTCTCGAAAACTGACAAATATGTGGCACTTGACGCCATATCACCACTAACAGTGCAAATATTAAATGACAAATAATAAGCCAAAACTTAACTGAACAGAATCAACTTTAAACCCGAATGCAAATACTTTTCCGCTTCAGTGAATTTCCTTTGTCTGGAGAACGCGATGTACTTTCATATTGGAAATTTTCGAGAATTTGATGTAAAATTTATTCACAAAGTTGAACTTGAAGGGCATATATTTTAAAAAAGGGAAAAAGATTAACATTTATTTGAACAAAATTCATTTTGCTTAAGAAATGAATTAGTAAAACAAAACGTAACAACTACAAGAACAATAAAATCATGTAAAATGAAGGAACAAAAATTTTTTTCCTTAGTTAATGCAAACCATAAATTAAACTTATGATGTGAAATAATTATATAGCAAAGTACAAAAGACATAACGCCAAGTTAACATAAATTTGATTTTGAATTTTTTTTGAGTTTCTGAAGAAAAAAGTACAGTTCAAATGAAACACGGGAACACAAGCGCTTCCTATCTTACCATTTCAAGAAAAAAGAATGAGCAAAAATCAAGATAGATGGAATATTTCAATGATATTCATCGCCAAAGGATCCCCAGGAATCTTGACGATGAAAATTCTCGAATGCCTTTTCCTTTTTGATCGTCCATTTGTATGTCACTGGCAACAATCTTTTCACGAGATTTGAATAACTAAAATTAAACAATTTCTCAGTGAATTTCGAAAGTTTTTTTCTTTTAAAAAGAAAAAAGCAGTTTAATGTGCTACAGGATAAAATCTAGTATAGGTTCGGAATAGAATTAGAACGAGAACAATTAATTTAATAATGAGAAATAATCTCGATAAGCAACCATATTTCGTCATTAATAACTTTTTAACATATAATCTGATACCGTGAATAGAATAAAAGAAATTCAATTGATTACTTTGGCGTGTCTGGACAGAAATCTTCAGTGTGATCCATTAATCCGCAAATGGTACATGATCCAATATTTTCGAGAAATGGATGGAACACTGTACGCTCCTTCTTGATGCATTTTCCCGCCTGGAAGTAGTAATGATAATAATTAGCCTATGCATGAACTGCAGATGAACATATATGCTAAAATTTTTGCAATAAAGAAATGCACTAAAATATAAAGCAATTCACTGATCCGTTAAATGAACTTGCCGAATCAGAACGTCTAATCGGAACGTTTTCCTTTAAATTAGCAGTTCTTTTTTTCGTTCTTTGTTGCCATTGCTTGGACTTCTCTTTCCGTGCTGACCCTAAATATAAGCTGGAAGATGTTTACATATTTTTAAAATTAAGTACCTTAATAAGTAGACGACGGATTTATCTTTCAACGATGAAAATTCAGAGAACACAAAATTGTTTATGATTACTACTAAAAAATTTTTGATCCACTTACTTCTGGATACTATTTTCTTGGTCCGCAAATTTAAATTTGACAAATCGCATGGAAGCGAGTAAGAGCGCCGCGTATCGATAGTACCCTTAAAATTAGCTGAA